TGAGACAGCCTATGAATATGCATAATGATTTCTCAAACTGTTTGAAGATGAGCAGCTTTAGGCAAAAGAATTGTACTAGAAAGGGGATAGGGTAAGTACCACTCAAATGGAGCCATTATGCTTGTAGCTATTTGGATCCTGAAATGAGATAAAAGCTACATCACAGAGGCATAAAGACTTCAGGACCAATACAAAAAATTAACTGACATGCCTTCTGGTAAAATAGAATATGAAACCTTTCAGTTCTACTTTGCATCAGTACTCTAAATGATGAAGCAGAAGAAACAGCAGGCTAATATTTCCCTATACTCAGCATAAAGCCTCAAGCAACTACAGGAGTGCTGATCTGCCTTTTGCACCGACATCCCATACAGCCATTAGGATAAATAACTAAGTCCTTATGATCCCTCTGCTTATTCCTCACTCTCAACTCTGAAAATTCTTGCAGGACAAATGCACAAGATCTGAAAAAATTTGCTGGTTTGACACCTTTTCCCCATCCTCCGTGTACCAAGCAGATATAAAAAAAAAAAAAAAAAAAAAAACAAACCAGAAAAAACTGGGAGTAATATCAACTTATTTCTTGTGTCTTTCTCAATAGACTGAAGCTAAATCCGCCAGAGGGAACTGAATCAGGCTTAGAGATTCAGAAATATCACATAGAGCAAGTGGTGAAGCCGTAATATACTGAAAGTTTACAGCTTCTAACAAACACCTTTAAAGAGCAATTCTTTCCACTGCAGCTACAGTTCTAATGACAGTTAAAGAGAAAACAGGAAAGGTCAGACTGCACACTGAGATAGGAGCCCTCCAATTTGAATCAGCCTAACTTTGCGTTGTGGACTTGCCTCTGAAAGAGGGTAAGATCTTAGCCTTAAGATGGCAGAGCTTTGGAAGAATTCCCTGTTGAATTCAGTCACAAAAGGCTAAACTGAACAGCAGTCTAATGGTTAAAAATTATGCCACATTACAACTTCAAAGAAATATTTTTTCCATAAGTATATTAATTTGAAAAGTTCCAACTTTCTACTTCTAAATATTTCCTATACTTCTTTTTATTAAAAAAAAAAAAAAAAGCAATAAGAAAAACCAAAACACCTTCATAAAGTTTACATAGTTCCTAGAGATAAGTCTTTGGGAAACTGCTGAACATCCGCCCTAAATTTTAAAAAGATGCTTTACTCCACCAGACTAGATAGTTTGATTGTGGTATCTCAGACATCTTCATTACACGATGAGGATATAAAATGTAAGTTCTTGGTTCCTCTTCACTATCAGAATACAGTACTGAGTACAAAGTTTATTTGGAGAAGACAAGGATGAGAACCGGAGGGGGGTTACTGCATTGACATCTGCGAAGGGCAGGTCTCATCATGAAACTCGACAGTTTACTAAATTAAGACACACTAAAGTTGAATATGGATTATGCCCAGAAATATGCCCAGACAGATGTCTACTTCACCATCATTTTCTTCTTTTTTTTTTTTTTTTTTTGGCACATTTGGCTATGCTAAAACCTTCTGACTAGAAACTCTGTAGGTGAGATGCTGATATAACGACGAAATAATGAAATCTGTGATTCAGTATTTGTGATACAATCTAGCAAAGGGCTAAACAGATAATTTCTCAGTATATCATTTCAGTGGCTTTTTGGGATATTGCACTTGCCACAAGAAGGTTTACAGTCGAGAGAGTGTAGCTTACTCTCCAGCATTTTGTACCAGTGAAACTATACTTCACTGAGGGTGAAGCAGTACATAACTGTTAATCCATCTTGTTTTGCAAAGACTAATACTAACTTCATAAGTTACCCTGACCTTGTGGACTCGTTTTGTCTAGGAATGAAACAATTACTTTTTAGTCATTGAGTTGTTCTTACTCGCTAGTTTCACCTAAATGAAAGAGGGGATATTTAAAATGTCTATGAGCATCTTGAGTAGTAATTTAAAACAAAGATGTTTGTTTAAAATAGTGGGAGAATAGAAACATTTAGATTTGCCACAGGCTAGAGAGGAAAATACAGTTAAGGATGTCTCTATTAAAATAAAATATCAGTACCCTATTATATGAAGAAATATTTAATTTTTTTTCACTTAGTATACTCCACATACTATTCAGTATAGCTAAACCTGTATGTTACTTAGTTTCACATTCATGAAAAAAAAAAGAAATATTGTAATTAATCTAGTTTTCTTTTTCAAATATAGTACTTGTAATACCATAAACTTGCAAAAAGTTTGATACTAAAATTATTTGAGAATTCTTCTTTTAATCTAACATGCTATAGTGCTTTTTGTTATATGACAAGATTTGTATCATTGCTACAGAGTTCTACAGAATTGTGTTACTGATGAAGAAAAGTCAAATCCTCAGGTAACCTCATTCTGTCCCTTCCCTAGTACACATATCATATCATTGCTGATAGAACTCTATATAGATTCAGAAAAAGATTTAAGGTGTTGTGAAATTTCTCCTAAAAATGTAGTTCTCTACTGTCCCATCTTCAGTGCCTCAGATGGCCACTAATTAAAAGAAAATTAAAGCTATAGCAGTTGCAATGTATAGTCACTACATAATATGTACACAGGTGATGAGCTTTATTAAGCTGTCTGAGAACAACTACCAGTTCCAGAAGCAGAGATTAAAATTACTTTAAATCAATTTTCACATATTTCTTGCGGTCATTTGCATTGTAATGAAGAAATAGTTTAAAACAGTTTTAAAACTGCAACAGTTACATGGATATTAGTGCAAAAAGCCTTTTTCTCATAGCAAAGAGTTGCTGATTAGAGCAATCCATTTGAAACAGAAAACTACATTTTTCCATAGTATTTGTCATATCCAAATGAAGGGAAAGAGCACTAAATCATGTATCCTAATGTTCATGATCTTCCACTGCTTAGGAAAAGGTCACATTTATGTACTTTGGAAATTTTTGTAGATGAGAAACATTAGTAAAATGAAACTATTACTTTTAGTTATCTCTTTTTATTTCCCAGTGTTGAACAAGCTACTGGGACCTTCTGTTGCATATTTATATTTATCATGAATGAGCAATCCTGTAGCAAGGGATGGATGTACTTTTCTGTCCAGGATACCGCTATGGTGGTATATTTTTAATTTACATCGCTAACCTTGAAGAGTAACCAAAAGCTATAGTTCACACTGAACACAGAGGTTCTGAATAGCAGAAATCTCTTAAATAGCAGCAATTCTTGGCATTGTTTCATGCAGCGTTTGCCTGACTAGTTACTGATACAATTCAAGTTGCTACTTATGATTTAAAAAGCTCTAAATGGCTCAGGATCTAAAAGGCTGCCTTTACACCTGTGTCCCAGAACAGATTTGACAGGTTGGATTGTCTGTCCAGTCCAAAGAGGATTGACAGCACTTCCAGAGCTTAGATCAAACTCGTTTTAAGGTATGCATTTATTATACAAATACATACATGAATGGCAGCATGAAACACTGGTATTATCTCCTGGTCTCCAGTTGGCTGTGTACCTATAAGCAGTTAATCTGGGGTCTGCTGCATGTGCCATGCATTCCTGCCCATCTCTCCCATCCAAGCGGGATAAACCCCACCCCACAGGCCCAGGTGTGTCCAGGTTTCTGCCCCCTAGAAGAGCTGTGGGAGCTTCAGCAATTTTAATCTCTAAAAATCCAGAGACATTTTCAACTTATGATAGTGCCTTCATGTTGCTGATGCTGAAATCTGAAGGCTTCATATGCCACATATCCAGTGCAAAAGAATGAAATTTAAACTTTTTATACAAACATTTGGGGAAAGCCAGAGGATATGTCTGTTATATCAGCTACCCAATATTTTATATCAGAAGAAGTGCTGAGACAACTGTCATGCATTAACAGAACAAAGAAATAATATACTATCACAGCAGAAAATTGCCCCTCCTTTTTTTTTTTTTTTTTTTTTAAATTATCTCATTTTCCTGCCATAGCATGGTAATGCAGATAACTAAGACAAGATACTTTCTGTGAGAATGTAAAGCAAGTGTTAAAAGTAGAAAACAGTACACACAACAAAATCAAAATAAGTTAATGTAATCCTATATATGATCTCCAGAGCTTAAATGGTGTTAGAAGGATGTATCTAGTTCAAAATACAGACAGTAAAGAAAACTCAAATGTTTTGTTTCTTTTGTAATTAATTTCTATTCCTTGCCTCTTGTGGTAAGTTGCTTTGTACAGTACCCCTTGAACCACAGACATTACCAAACTCAAATATGTTGATATAAAACACTTGTCATAAATA